ACCCCACGAGTGCATCTTTGAGCTCGTGTCAGTAATCCCGTCTAGTACCAGTGAGCTACAACTGAAATTTGGTCACCTTGAGCCCTGCACATATTTTGTTTGCCAAATGTCCGCTTCTTGTTAGTTCATGGGGCGAAAAGCAAGCCATTAACTCACAGGAGTATCAAGGTTGGGCCAGCGTTGGCGCATTAACTTTAAAGGAAACGCAATAAATTCGACCTCACTACTGCACAAAAGTTACTATGATTTCTTCCTCGTGTAATCACATATCTCACACTCAAATTTTATGCTGATATAAGATTAAGTTTTCGCAAACGCTCAGATCGGCTAGCTACGATGGAGCCTCTAACAAGCGTCCCCTACTCCTCGCTAAGCCTTTATGGACGACCTTTACTGGCGCCCAAGATCTGTGCCTCAACGGTGTGTCTGAAATGGACCTGTTCCGAGAAGCGTTCTGCGCACGCGCGAGCGCCCGATGCCAAACGGCGAAAGTCGGAACGAAAAATCGAGGAAATACGGAATGAGCCTGTGGATAAGCGAGTAGAACAGGTAATTGCAGCATATATATGTTCGGGTTACACAAAAAAAGAAAGTGGATGCAAGGAAAAACACAACGATTGGGTGGACGCTACGGATGCCCATCTTTAAGCTCGCGTTGGGCACGCGACGCAGCTCGGAGAGCGAAGAAACTGGTAGCGTAGCTCCCGGCAGACTTGTACACGTTACTGAAAAATAGTAAGGAATTACATTTACAATTACTCAAGGCTAAATTGTAATTTATTACAATTACAATTACCCTCCCACGAAAGTAACTGACTGTTACCCCAAAAAGTAATCCGCTACCTTCGTGGCGTTACTTTTAACATTATTGTCCTCAAGTAAGAAAGAAAGGGAAGAGGGTTATTTAGGTTATTATTCTTGCCACCTGTTCCATTTAATGACCTTGAGTATTTTGAGCAACAGCCTGTCTCGTCAGTAATTTTGCGTTATCTCTTATAGAATATTTCGCCTGCTACGCTGAACACCATTTGAGCTGAGGCACTGGATGGGAGTGCCATATTGTTCCTCACGAATACTTCATGCTCTGCATCGAGCTTTTTCAGCGAAGCAAGAGAAGTACTATGTACCTTGAATATGGAGCAAAGCTTCGTCGTTGCAGCCGTTGCCTACTATTCGAGAGATTTAGTAGATCCTTCCGATACCTCCGATACCCGCGATAACGGTACCCGATAACGATATGATGCATACGCAAAGATGGCGGCGAAGTTTTGGATATCGTTATCGGAGTCATAGGACCGATCTACTAAAATTCTCCGTTCTCTAAATTGCGAAGGTGTAGAAGTCATCGATAGCAAAACAGAGTTGAAACAGTAAGGTAATAATTAAATAATAAATAAGGGTTGGCTCGATGTTCTTCTTCCTTTGGTTCTGAACAGTTCGAGCCTCACTTGAGACGTTGGTGAATAAAAGAAAAGTTTTCAGTATAGAAATATAAGTAATAAAAGAAACAGGACACTCATAACAACCATTAATGAGAACGTTGGTTAAAACAGGGAAATGTAAACGCACGTTCACCGTGTGTACCTTTCTTGGTGCCGTTCAAGACGCACGGAGCACGAACCGACTGCATTTTCTTCGGTGTCCTCCAGATAGACGTCCACTGATGCCATGGGCACCAAAGTGTAGAGTACTAGTGGCCAATTCGTCTGGGCCCGCATCGCACCGGTGCAGTGCGGTTCGTCGTACACGGAAAGCTAGAGGGGAGCTTCCTTCTCTCCCCGCCAGTCTTTCGTGTACTAAAGTGGAAAGAGGTTACTGCACTGGACGGGTGCGGTGCGGGCCCAGACGAATTGGCCATGAGTAAGCCGCGCTATGGCCCCGCTCACGAATTTCACTCTCTCCTCAAGTCCAGAATATCAAGTCTACGTCAGCCACCATTATGTTTTATTTGTAAAAATGTCTGCTTGAGATAAGATGCGTCCTGGTGGGGCAAAGCAGGAAGAAGAAGAAAGGAAGACTATTACCATTTTCTAAATGTTCGCAAAAAGCTGACTCACAAAAAGGGTAGGGTGACGGAGCGTTGTCAACTGTTGTGAAATCATGAAAATGGTCGTAGTCACTATATCCGACAAGTACATTGTTAATTCTTTTCAGTGCACTTACCGCCTCGAGCCTCTCGAAGAGGCGCACAATCACTTGGTGTCCTCCTCTCCCCGTCTTCGATCGCAAAACAAAAACAACAAAGGGACTAAAAGATAGCGGAAATACTTGCCCCCTTCCCTTTTTTGTGAATTGTTCATTTGGATTTTTTTACATTGATGTCAGGGTCTAAAAAATGATAGATTCAGGGGCTTGGTGTTGCAAAAAAAGGTTTTGCGGAACTGAAGAGTGCCAAGCCTCCCTTTGCGCTGGTCGATTCGCGTGACAGTGTCACTGCGATCGACTTTACAAAATTAAAAAAAGCAAAAACCTTTATTTAGAATGGGGGCGGGGGGAGGGGGGGGGGGGTGGTTCTGACAAAAAAGTGTAACGGATTACAAGGAATCCGTCACGTCAAAAATGTAGAGGAATTACTTTAAAATTACTCTAGAAAATATGTAATTCTTCCTTTACTGATAAATGTAAGGGATTACAAGTAATTTCGTTACTTGCAACGGATTACGTACAAGTCTGGCTCCCGGTATCGATTGGTAGCGCAGGTAGGTCACTTCCTTGATTTTTAGTTCGTGCAGCCACCGCCTGGTGCCGTCAGTATATGGAAAAGGTCAATCATCTCGGCATACTCAATAAGGAAAAAAGCAAACACATAACAAATACTATGGCCATTAGCAACCGTCAAACGCGCTTTGAAAAATTTCGTTCGTTTGGCGCACCGGGGTTCATGGCCTGTCCGGCGCACTTCCACCAAATTGTACGACATTTTCACACAAGTGCTCGAGTTTTTCTTTCTTAAAACGGTTTGTATGTGTGAATGTGCCTATATGATTGGCAGGATAACTTTATGCGTATACGCGATGTTGAATATTAGTGAAATGCAAGCGAGTGGAGACTTCACGAATTCGTGCAGTGCTGCGGGGCAGTATAAATAAGCGATAAGAAGTGTGTTCAAACTGAGTTTTTCAATGGCGCCTCCGCGTTTTACCTCGCGTACTCAGGCGTATCAAGAAAAACAGTAATTTCAAAAAGTTATGTTTTGTCTATAGACGCACGAAACAAACAAACTTCCTGATCAACAACACTAATGTAAAGGCGCGAGCTCGATGTATGCATACTTACTGGTGTCTACAACTTGTTGATTTGCACACAAGCAAGATCCCCCATCTTTGCAGCGTCGAGATACCCATCACTGGCTAATCCACATACCTCGAAGCGCTAACAGAAAGGCTCAAGTACAAAAATACAACAAGCATGTGTTAAGACAAGCTATACGTCTCGAGCTTGTGCTAAAGCTTCGAAGTCTGGCCAGTTAGGTTATTTTAGAGATTATAAATGACGCTCTCGGGACCAGGAAACATAAAATAAAGCCGTTTATAGTCCACGCTTTGTGTATAATTTCTTGTCGACTTGTCGATCGAAACCGAAACCATGGCACTCTCCTCCCTGGCCAACAAGTTCCCAGAGTGCAACGCGCGCCGTGTTGCATGCAAGGCTTTATGGAAGTAGTCTATTCAGTAATGTTGTGACAGTTTTTGGATGGATGATCTAAAACAAACAAACATTCATGTCCTCCCGAGTTCTAACAGATTGTCCTCGCTATGTTGTACCTCGTTTTTATACTGGCAACTGACAAGATACTCGTGATATTTATGTTCTGAAAATATTTAATTCACTTCCTGATGGCATTTTTACGCTTCCCTAAAAAAAAAAAAAGTTCCGGATTGTTTATCTGTAAATATCTCCGTAGTGTTACTACCGGTCCACTGTGATTGACTATCTCTGCCCGTGGCATGTATATATCTCTGCATGTATACTATGTACGTGTCCCTATATGCACCTGTACATATGTCTATAATATTCCTAATGGTCTACTGTGATTGAATATCTCTCTTCGTGCCATGTACAAAGCGACTGACTGCCCGCCGCCTCCCCCCCCCCCCCCTTCCCGGACAACTATGATTGTTTATCTGTGTTAGTTTGTTAACTCAGTATGTATATAAGTATATAAGGACCTACTGCCTCTTCCGGGCCATGCACCACAAGGCCTATACGCCTACCTTAAATTGGCGGGCTTGAGAATATTGAAAACAAAAATGAAAGCGGAATAAATATTATTATTGATATTAGTAGTAGTAGTAGAATTACAAATAATATTACAATGATTATGACGAGGAAGAAGTCTCATTGTTCGGAAGGCCGTTTCACCGCTATGAGATATTTGCCTCGCCTCTCCATGGCTTCCTCGAATTGAGTATCCTGGCAATGTTCTTCCATCTACACCAAGTGAGGAGATCGACTGGGGCGACTACTCAGTCGACTGGAAGATCACCGATATTATGCCAATGATCGATCTCAACCTGGCGAGACCACTCGCGGACCAAAGCACATACGACTGTCCATTGATTTCCTCTTCAACCAGACTTACACGCATCACCGTCGGCGCCTTCATCAATATATGTGTTATGGTATTTGTATGTGTAGGTGTGTGCCTTCACACTTCTTCCGGTGAGCCAGTACTTTTACATTACAGCATTTGCATCTTTTTCCTCGTCGCTGTCTCTCGTCAACTGGGACTTCCGGTCTTCGTTATGTCCCCACCTTTTGCATGCGGCATGTGTGCTATGTGTGTGCCAACGGAGGGTAGACGTATAAAGTGCATGCTCTGCCAAAGTTTTGTTAAGTTGGAACAATGGCTCGGGATTGCAGAGGGTACCTTTACTACGATGGGAGCAGCTAAACGATAAAAGTTGCGCTGCAAGACTTGGCGCAGCAGGGAGAACCCGATGGGCGCTGGAAGCTTGGAGGCTATATCTCAGGATTAACTTCACTCTTTCTCCGCGCAGATAGCATTCGTCAACGAAACGCTAGACGTACTGCTGTCGTTAAAACATAACGTTGATTCGCTTCTCACACTTCCAGCGAAGGTCAATGTCTTGTTGGCCTTAAAACCCACCATTGAGTTTCTACGTGCAACCGTCCAAGAGGTCCAGGACTGCGTTGTCTTCCTGAGTGCTCAGTACGAGTCGGTTCTCACTGGTATCACCAAGTAAAAAAATAAACAAGGACCTTGGGGAGGAAGTCACGTGACTCCAAAACACAGTAACGGAGCAGGTAAATGCTATTAACCTGCTTCGGGCAGAGCTGAATGACACCGAGCAACAACACCGCTTACCTAATATGTAAACTCAAGGCATGCCTTCCACGTAAAAAAGAAAACTTGAACATGGTTCTTTTGTGACCTAGCCTCTAACATTGGCCTGTCGCAGTTTGCGCCATCGAATGTTCTTTCCGTCCACCGTCTACCCCCAAAGAAGGCTGACAAACCAAACACTGTTCCATTGATGCTAGTCAGGTTTCCGTTGGTTGCCCTCAAACAGCAATGGATGAGATGCTGTGGGTGACTAAGAGAGCTCAGCAACGTCGGGAGCCGGTCCGAACTATTCTTTAATGAGAATCTCACTCGTTCCAACCATGAGCTTTTCTGGCTGGCGAGGAACAAGAGAAAAGAAAGTCATTACAAGAATATCTGTGTAAAACATACACACATCTACGCAAAAAAACAATGAACGCTCACTTCTCCTACGGATCAACTCTATAAGGGATTATGCAAAAATTGTTTAAGCTATCAGATCCACCTTTTTCTAGTGTAATAATGTTTTGTCTTTTCCAACCTTGCTAGGTAAGCCAAAAGGTGCGACTTTAAATGCTTGCATGTTAATATCCAGAGCCCTCGAAAATATCGGGATCATTTTCTCATCATGGTACAAAACATGTTTCATGTCGATGCATTTATACTTGCGGAAATTATTGTCTCAGACTCCATGCTCTATCAATTCGCTCTCAAAGAATACCACTTCTGTTTCACGCGTTCAGATCTTAGTGGTTGAGGCATTGCAATTTTTGAACATCAAAGAAGACAAGTTTCCCTCCTTAATGTAAAGTTTTCTAAATCGAAGATCTATCTATCAAACTTGACAATTCCATCGTCTCACTTTCTCTGTAATGTTTCTACAGGCCTCGTTCAGAAAATGTTCGAATGTCTCTAATTGAGCTTCAGGGAACTCTCTCCGCATTACATTCAATACAGGAACATTGTTTGCTGTGTGACTTGAATATAAACGCAATGAACGCAGCCAGTTCTATCGCATGCGACTATCTTAAAATATTGTCAAACATTGGCTTAGAATGCGTTTTTGATGCCCCAACCCGAAAATAAATTTTAGGAACGAAGTTCCTTCTTGCATTGACCATATTTTATTACGTCCATTAGGTGTCTATGTGGAATCTGCTGGGATTGAGGAAAAATAAGCAGATCACTATTTCGTGGGGTGTCAACTATCACACACAGTGGCGTCAAACTCTAAATGCTAAAGTTAAAGACAAGCCCAAAATATTGATAGTGACAAGTAAGTTTCCTCTCTGACTGGCACGCCTTTTTAAGTACGGTCAATAACACTAATCTATACTCAAGTTTTGTTCAAGCTTTTTTCTCGCTTACTATTGCAATCCGTAGAACTCTTACTTTAAAAAAAGCGGACACCTCTTCATAAATGTCTGCACAATAATATACTTAATATGATTAAAGAGAAAGAGGTCCTGTGGAGTCGGCGTCGCGGATCTCCAAACAACAAAGATTTGCAAAATTAATTCAAGCAGTTAAGACATAACGTAAACGCTGTCATTCATTCTGCAAAGAGAGAGTTTTCAAATCACAATTCGAAGAATTCAGATTTAGTTCAGACAAAACATGGTCACTGATAATTCAATTCGAAGGCGCTGGTTTTGGAAATTCTATTGACCAAACACTCGAACAAACTTCTCGGCCACTTATCTTAGAATTAGCAAACGACTTTAACAACTTCTTTAGTAAATACTCAGGCGTGCCAAGTATAACTGCTGTGAACTCATGCGCACTAAACAATAAATTTTTGGCGTCAGCTTTCCTTTCTTCCTTGGACGAGAAGGATCTACACTCCCTTTTATTTAGTTTCAAACCCAGCAAATCTCTCGGTATTGATGGTGTGGCGATAGCCACTGGAAAAAGAAGAAGATCGCGTGCAATTAAAGAGCCAGACCAGTTCGATTTCGGAATGCGTCAGACGGAGTCACTTTTCGTCTCTCTTTCTCTACATTGGTGACCCGGACGTCCCAGCATGGAACGTCACAACGTTCCCCGAGCTGATGCTGGGCTTCCTGAAACCTCTGTAACAACCGTCGTCACCTACGCTGTTCGCCTGCCTCCATTCTGGGCACAGCACCCAGAAGTTTGGTTTCTTCAAGTCGAGGGAAGCTTCCGACTGGCCAACATAACATGCCAAGAGGTACGGTTCAGCCATGTCCAGGCTTCGCTGCATTCGAAGTGGCGCTGGAGGACTGCGACATCCTCGGACAACCGCCTGCGACGAACCCGTATGATTCTCTCGAGACTGCCATCTTAGAAACCACAATACTTTCAGAACGCAAGCTCCTCCAGCAGTTAGTCTCAGCAGAACTGGGCGACCGTCGCCCATCGCAACTTCTGCGCCAAATGCAGGCGCTCCTCGGTGACGTGCTGCAACGTTCGACAGCCAGTTCTTGAAAGAGCTGTTCTTGCAGCGACTTCCACCATTGCTGCAAATGATGCTGGCGACTGCATCCGACTTGTCCTTGTCTGCCTTGGCTCTCGACGCCAATAAGGTCATGGAGGTTGCCAGCCAACACCCGTCAACATCTACCGTCTCATCAGTACAGCGCCTCGAGCCCGCCACTCCAGCGACCCGCGGTTACTCGGGATGAAATCGCAGCACTGCAGGAAGACGTGCAAGAACTACAGGAGCGTGTCACAGGCACATTGCGCCTTTCACGACCTCGCAGACCTAGGCGATCCTCACAGTCCAGAAGCTCCCGCCATCGTTCTCCCTCGCCACAGGCGAACCACCAGCCGAGGCATAACGAACAGCGTGGAAGCCACCTCGAGTTCCACAGTAGCACCCGCGACCCGCATCAAACACTCCAGGACAGTTCACTGGGACGACTCCGTCTCCGAAAAGGGGGGGGGGGGGGGGGGGGGCTATGTGGCGATAGCCGCTGGGAAAAAAAGAAGATCGTGTGTAATTAAAGAGCCAGACCAGTTCGATTCTGGCATGCGTCAGACGTAGTCGCTTTTCGTCTGTCTTTCTCCACAATGGTATTCGAGCGTTTTATCTTCAGAGCAATTTCACATATATTAAAAACGTTCAGCTCGCTATGCTGAACGGTTTCATTAAGTCTGGCAGCCTACCTGATGAGCTCAAGGCTGCTATTGTGCGTCCCCTTTTCAAAGAAGGAGAACGATCCAATGTTTCAAATTATCTTCCTAATTCGGTCTACCTATTTTAAGACAAATTATTGAGAAACACCTCTTTCTGATGATGAGCAGTTTTTTAGATAAGAACAAAATATTTTTATTTACTCAGTACGGATTCATTACTGAGATAGGCACATAACCGGCCCTTGATAATTTTTCTCATTACATATATTCATCATTGGAAAGTAATATGGTTGCGTGTGCTCTTTTTCCCGATGTGCCCAAGGCTTTTTACACTGACAGCCAGGAGTTGCTCCTCGCAAAATTTTATCGCCTTGGTGTTCGCAGCCCATTTTGCTCTTTACTGGAAAACTGTCTACCTAAAAGGTCCCAGTTTGTCCTAATCGGAAACCTTCAAACCGCGGCTTTCTTTACTGGTGGGAGTGCCTCATAATTCTGTTCTTTTTTTTTTCTTTACGTTTTAATATTTTTGTGGACGACATGGCCCAGCTTATCAACGGGTTTAAAATTTACCAATATGCCGACGATAGTTTCCTTGTGTCACGTCATATTAATCCTTCTCACTCACTCCACACACTGGAAATAAACGCCACTCATATAATTGGTCGGTTCGATGATAACTTCCTAGACACAAACCGCTGTAAAACAAAGCTGGTAGGTTTTCACAATCCTCTTAAAAAACGCCGGGCTCAAGTAAAGTTTGTGCTTCACCCTTCCAGTTGTGCTCAACGCAACTGTGTATCCATCGAGTCTGTCCATCAAGTGAAATACTTAGGTGTACATTTAGATTTTGGTATGCCTTGGAACACGGATATGTCATATATTTGTAGCAAAGTACGAATTCTGTCTTATATGCTTTATAACACTAAATTTTTTATGCCAGTCAGTATCAAAATCATTATCGTCCTCGCGCTTGTTTACGTAACCACTATTATGCCGATGTTTGACAACTTTTCGGGTCATTGACAGTCCAAAGTCAATACTTTATTGGAAAGAAACTGACAAGCGTTGAATATAATTCTAATTTTTCCAGCAACAATGATATTTTTCTAAGCCTTCAATTGCCTATCCTATGTTGTCTTTTTATACAAGCGGTAGTGCAAAGTAGCGTTTAGAAAAATAAGTTCAAAACACCATTTCTGTCTTCTAAATATTTCGTCGCGTCCCTCGTTTTGTAGTGCCGATTTGGTTGACCAGGTACGGTAAATTCACTCGGGATTACTACGTCCTGTGTTTGCTCAACGCCCTTCCTGGCACTTTGATTGACACTACACCAGTGAAACAATTGAAGAAGTAACTCAAGTGCACTAAATTTAATTTAATCTAGCATATCTCTGCTGGGTCTTTATTCTTCGAGCTTAAACTGTAAATAGTTAGGTTAATTTTAAACTAATTTTGCCTTTTTAAATTTGTTTTTCTTCCTTGACTTTGTTTTTGTTTGACGCCTTCTTGTTTTTTTTTTCCATTGTGCTTTTTTTTCTTCTTGAGTGCTTTTTTATAGTTCGACTTTCTGTCTTACGTTGTGGAATCGCGATAACAGTCTTTTGAATTTTTTTTTTATTGGCGTCATCATATGAGCCCTCTGCAGGCTTTGATATGGTCGTATTTAATACTTGACTTCCAATGTGCGCGAAAATAAAATATTATTATTATTATTATTAATTACACATCGCTGAGTATCTTACGAGCTCTGACGTCAATTAAAAGTTTAAAGAACGCCCTTGTTGTTTTATTACAAAACAAACTAGTAGCAGCGACGAGGAG